GTTCTTTAGTTGAATTCAAAGCAGATATAAAACCATTTGTCTATAATTTTCTAAATATACAATAAGACATTTTAATTGATCTATGGCAATATCAATATGCATATATTTAGATTGTAAGATTTTACTAACTGAATTAACAGCAAACAGTATGTCATACCAAATATTCATAGCTAATAAGAATTCAAAATTTTTAATCTCATAAGTTGCTAAGCTATTAGCTTCACTTTTTATCTTTGGATCTTCACTAATTTCTGCTAATTGAATCAAAGCATCTCTTATATTTGAAGCTTGAAATTTTATTGCTTTAACACTTTCAATCCGACTTTCTCATCTAGTTTGAGATAAAGATTTAACGGATAACTTGCATCCATTATCCTCTAAAATTTTCCATCGTTTAGTAGATGAAGCAAACAATGAGTATATAAGTTGCAACACTTCAAAAAAAGAAATAGCTCTAGGACATGAATTAGCTATATCACATAAGACTAAATTTAAATTATGACAACCACATGGTGTATAGAATGCGATTAGGGTTTTTGGCGAACGGTGTGGGGGTTTAAAAATATTGGGGGGTGGGGGGCCCTACCCAAAATGAGGCCCAAGGCAACTGCCTTAGTTGCCTAAGGGTAGGGCCGGCCCTGCCTAGCTAGTTAAGGATTCAACATGTATATCATCGGTCAAGCTGACATGTGGCCGTGGTCTGAATATCAGGACTCTTATGGCTTTAGAAAATCTCCAGACATCAAATCCCCAAAAAAAAACCACTACAACAAATTGTAATTTTCTCGACGCTTATTCCCGACGCATGGTTAAATACGTCACCAAAAATTATGTTTTTCCCGACGCTTTTAGTTAGCGTAGGTAAAACATATATATTTTTCGACGTTTATAATTAGCATCGCTAAAAGTGTATATTATTAGCGACGTTTTAACTTAGCGTCGGTAAAAGTTATGGATTTCCCGACGTTTTTTTATTTTCGTCGGTAAAAATATATATTTTTAGCGACGTTTTAGAACTGGCGTTGCTAATGGTGTGTATATATCCTGACGTGTAGGTATGCGTCGTTAAAAGTCTATTTTTAGCGACGTTTTTTCTCATCTGCATCGCCAAAACTTTTGGAGGGATATTTCCCTCTCTTATTTTCGCGAAAAAGAGAAAATATACAAACCCCCCAAATCCCCTCGTTCTTTCTCTCCCATCAGAAATCCCAAATCCCCCAAAATCCCCAAATCCCCCAGAGTTCGTCGCTGCCCCCAAATCCCCCGTCGGAGTTCGTCGCTGCCCCCAAATCCCCCGTCGGAGTTCGTCGTTGCCCTCAAATCCCACGTCGGAGTTCGTGCACCGCGTCGGACTTCGATCCCCAATCACGGAGATCTCTTCAATCCTCTTCAAAGGTGAAGTCTCTCTCTTTCTTTCGCTGAGAATTTTAAGTTATTTTTCTTATAATTTCTGCCTCCAATTTGGATTATTTATGGATTAGACTTGATGCCTATATCTCTCTTTGTTGTGAAAATTGTCTATTATTTCTCTCTTTGTTGTGAAAATTGTCAGGTTGAATGAATCATTTATGTTGTTGTTTGTTTGGTGTGTGAAACTGTCATAAAGTTCCATGTTTTGCCTGAATATGGCATATTCCTGATACACTTTTTTATGACATCTTCCAGCTATCCACGTACAGAGAGCACATCATACCCTGGATCATTTGATTTTAGAAATGCACTCGGGGCACAATTGAATAATCCTGTATGGGGTGATTTTGTGCAATCATTATTAGCTGAAGGTTTTCATAAGCCAAGAACAGGATGAGATGCTGGTGATCATCCTCCCATTACTCCCATGCGATCAGCAACGGAGGATATGGTAGGAAATGATGCTTGGAGGCTGTACCAGCATTTTATTGGCTCTGTTAGTCCTGACTGCAAATACAGAAGGTCAACTATGTTCTTCTTCCTTCTGTAAACTTAGAACCTTCACTAAAGTACCCAAGATGTATAGAAGAAATATCACTGAATATATATTGGTCATGAGCACATGTTTAGTTATGTTCTGAACTTTTGTTGATTTGAGGTAGTTACAGCATTTTCTATCTTAAATATGACTTGTTCATGCTCTCTACAGGACTAATGTAGAATTTACTGTTGGTGGTGAAGTGTTCCGCTATGTGGGTCAGCATGTCATAACTAAAGGGTTTACATCTATCTTGCCATGGTTGGCTGTTAGTGAAAAAAATCTTCCTCAGTTTACAAAGGGAGAGAGAATAAACATTGCGAAAGTTGAGCTATATGAGGTGAACTTTATTTTTCATTAAATGTTTGGTTTCTTAGGCTTAGACAAGCATCTTTGTAATATACGTGAATATTACCCTTTATGTATGAGGTGAACTTTATTTTTCATTAAATGCTTGGTTTCTTAGGCTTAGACAAGCATCTTTGTAATATACGTGAATATTACCCTTTATGTATGTGGCTTCCAGAATTTGTTTATATTCAATTCTAATAACCATTTTATTTGTTTTTGTTAGCTTTTTTAGTTATTGGTATGATTTCAATTCTGTGAGTTCAGATGATGGTTTATTACATAGATTACTGGAGTAATTTTTATGTCCTTACACCAGTTATTGATGCTTCAATTCTCAAACTGGCTTGACTTACTAATGTTTAGTTGATAAAAAGTGCACGGTTTTAGGTAAACTAACATTTCATCTTGTGGAACTAGAAGATAATAAAGTAAAAAGATGATACCAAGAAATTATATCAATTTTTCATTTTAAAACTTATTCTGTTGGATTGTCAAGCTCATCAACAAGACCTTGAAGCACGTGATTGCACATAAATAGCTGGACACCCTACTATATTTTTGCCCCATGATGTTAACATAGCTACGTGATTTACCATTTCATTTTAATGCTATTCAACTACATTTGTGTAAGAAAACATGGCATTCTCCAGTACCTTCAACAGCTCCTAATGGCCCAGCATTCTTTATTCTTTATAAAAAGGTCCATCAGTTAATTGCCAATGGCTACGAGAGTATAAGTTTGTTGCCTAGATGCATTAGAGTACAAATTTAAGGTTGTTGCACATAACTACCTTTTTTAGAAGATAACTCACCAGCAAATAGAAACATGCCCTCAACAGAATTTAAGGTTGATGCATTAGAGTATAAATTTAAGCCATTGTCAAGAATTAAGGCTTATGATTATTAAAGGGCTGATCTTGCTCAGAGGACAATACAAACAAAACATGTCTTAGGTTAGGCTTGGACTATAGACCTCAAAAGAAGATCAGGTGTAGCTTAAAAATTGCATATAAGCTCCATCCAACCCTCAACAGAACCATCAAGCCCTGCATGAAATGTTTGTATTTATATATATACAAAGAAAGGGGTTTATATTGTGCATCTAGTGAATGGCTCAGCCATATCACAGGCCAGGTATGGGCCAGGCTGTATGCATATAACGGGACAGGTTTCAAATGAAAAAAAGACTCGATAGTATGTGAAATGGAGTAAACTCCTGCAGTAACGACAGTAATACAGAAACTATGAAAATAGGCAACAAAGAGGGATCATGCACTTCAGGAATTAGCTTATTTAGAAGAATGAGATCGACTAATTAATGAAAAGATAGCTGAAGCATCTATCTACACGTGCAGAAAACTAGTAGCTGTTAACAATACTTAAACAGTTGCCACCTCAGACAATTAAGACACTTAATTCTGCATTAATCCTTCACCATCCTGCTCGCAGACTATACCTGGCACACATATACTAACAGTATCAGATTAACACCATCCAGCCAAAATAACCTTGTCCGCACAAATGCAGTTATCGAGATGATTCAATATGTCGGCGTGTAAAATTAGCTAGCAGTTGAGATATCTTCATGCCAAGCAAATAGATATGAGATAAAGCGATGGACACCTTTTTAAACCCAATTGTCCACAGAAATCTTCAAAAATTGCTACGTAATACAAGCTAGAAGTTTTCTGGGGGAAAAACATGCTAGAAATATCCTTTTCCCTTTATCTGCATAATTAAAAATAAAGTTTGACTTTAAATAGCTCCACTCTAACCTAAAAAAGGTTTCACAAAAAAACTAACTTAATTAATTAGATTCATGGTTTCAGTTGCTCATGTAATTTTAGCTAGAGCTGTTTTTCATATTAAATGGTCATCAGATCGCATTATTTCTCTCTTGTACGTACATGACTACAGCTGGCCGGGTAAAAACAAGCATGGGATGCAAATTATCATATGCTATTTTTCTTTGCATTGGTATGCTTTGAACCTCCGCAGGCTTACATATAGGCCTGTACTTTGATATTTGAATCAGTAGGCACCACCTTCTAATTTAAGAAATAATCAATATGATGGGCCGCACATATTACCATATATAAAGGTTTAATTAAGGAGACCAACAACATGATGCGTCACGTATTACTATGTTTAGCACACGCGTAAAGGTGGAATTAAAGAGGGAACCAAATACAATTTCAGCAGTATGCAATTGTCTTTCCAGTTAATCCACAATGATATTCAGAGATATCTTGCAATTAGATTTTCATTAGAAAGCACCACTCAACAGCCATAATGATACCCATTAAGCGTCTACCACAATCTCTTCTCGTTCAATATCTTTTTATAGCATTCAATATTTTGGCTTAAAAGGTTGATAACACGCTGAAAATTAAGTCGTAAATACATTGAACTATGAATACGACATGTAATTAAAGAGAATACATTGTTATAATCCAGATAAGAATGATAACTGCATAAATCTGAAGTATTATAGTAACCTACAAGTGTCTCATCTGCAACATATAACGACACACACTTAAGGCTAATCGAAACAACCCAGACTGCGAAATCAATATACGTTTTTAATCTAATCACGGCTAAATCTCTGGGTACTACTAAAACAACTACTCTTCATCTGAAAAAAAGGGGGAAAAATAATCTGAAAATTTATGATCTCAATCAAGGCTATTACTCTCTAGCTTCATCCTCTACCCCATAGAACCATGTAGAGTCCAATCACAATCAACACTGCTCCAATTATGCTGCAAATTGAAGATAATTCAAGAATAAATGATCACACAATCAACCTCAAAATTTGAACAAGCAAAATATACTTTTATACCTGAATCGAGAAAAACTTCTATGACTAATTAGCAAAAAATTGTAATGAAATACTTTATACAAGAATTTATTGAAAGGGTCATCATAATTATTGATAATATATATATATTTAATTAGGTCAGAAAAAAATATTTAGAAAACTATTTTGATGGTATGCAAGTTTGATCAGTTCATGCTGAGTTGTATTATTTACACACGGTATATACAAGAGTTCGTTAAGATGCAAAGCGAATCGAAATAAAAGGAATAAATTACATACCTTCCAACATGCAATTTCTCCTCAAGAAGAAGAGAACCCAAGAAGGCGACGATCACAAGCATTAAGGGGTTAAAAACAGAAGCATACAGTGGTCCTTTCTGCTTTATACACCATGATAGAACAGGAAGGATCAAGGCCGATGCGACTACTCCCTGCACCAAATATAATTCCAAACAAATAAATTTCAGGACTATAAAAACATTTCACATAAACTTTTAGCATAAGCACATTTGCCGGGGATTTTTTCCTTTTATTTTTTGGAATTTTTTATTGTCTCAGAAGATATACATGCATATACTAGTCGCAAAGTATTTGTAGAAGTCAAATAAAGTTTGCTTAGAAAAATGAATCGTACCACGTATACAACAGTCAATAACCTAACATCGAACCCCAATCTCCAGTGATCCCAATGCCTATCCACGCAAAGTGCATAAACATTAGCTTGGACCGCCGCCATCAAACACATCAAGGCCGTATTAGAGTAATGACACGGATACGCTTGACTCATCTTAGCCTACAAAATCATAAATATTTTAATAATATTCAGAATACAGTCCAATGTAACACAACGTAGCGTCATCGCTTCAAAATCACCTGAATAATTAACCAGATTGCATAAGAGAAACAAGTGGCAACAGCCAGCAACGAACCGATGACATGATCAGCAGACTGTTGGTGGATTCCTCCAATATCCTGTGATGGTTTGATGAGATCGAACTTTGATGAAAATAGATTGATGTCTGCTCCTTTGTAGAAAGTGAGAGTCATGGCTCCTCCAATTCCAACTATAGTTCCTAGCACCTTTGCTTGTCCTGATACTGATTTTATACCTAATCTCTCCAATCTTGTGGGAAATTAAAGAGGATAGATGTACGTTAATTAATTAGTTTTTTTTGTGTAATATTAATGTAAGCTTTTGGGTTAGCTGAGGATAAAGTCCCTGTACTATTGCAATATTGAACTTACTACCATGTAGACCCCTGAAAGAGTTATATTGTTGGCCACCCCCCCCACCCCCCACCCCACACACACACGGGCGCTAAGAAGGGCAAAAAAATCGACTCGAGGGGTAAGTTTGATAGTAAGTTCAAATTGACGATAGTAAAAGGGGGCTCAGTCCACAACTAACCCTACCAACTTTTTACTGGTGTTGTGGAAAGAAAGTACCTGAAGAAAACTGCCATGACAAAAGTGATTGCTGGAATGAGGTTAGTCATAGCCGTGGCAAAGGTTGCCGATGTTAATTTAATACTCGCGACGTACAAATTTTGAGCCAGTGCGCAACTGCCAAAAAGAATAGAACATAATGTTGTTATTTGGATACTCGTCAATAGTGAGTAACATAATGTTGTTATTTGGATACTCGTCAATAACGATAAATTCAATATTGTTTCATTAGTTTCTTCTAATATTGCAATTATGCAAATAACTTGTTCAATTTTTAGCTTGTCAATCGGTCTGGATTTTTGCTCTTATTCATTCAGGTGATCAAAACTGTATAATCTAAGTTATGGACCAAACAAATGCCCACCTCAAGTTTTAAAGGCATGTGGTTTGAAGGAGCAAGAATATTAGATGTTTGATGTTATGGACCAAACAAATGAAAAGAGTCAACATGGAACCTCACCCTGTCCCTAGAAAGTGAAGCTCACAATGGCCCAACAATTACTAGAGGCTTTAAGAAAAATCATTATTAATGGCAAATTAAGATGCCAACTTTTCAGCCGCTAAGAAAAACAAAGTTTTGGTGATAAAATTAAATAAATATATAATTAACTTTCAAGTATAAACAACGAGTCTCATGTGAATCAAGTCTCTATCTCTTATTTCTATTCTTTTATATATATATATATATATATATATGTGTGTGTGTGTGTGTGTGTGTGTTTTTATTTCTTGAAAAAAGAATATTACCCAAATAAGCCACAGAAGAATGCTTGCATTAGGATTTTCCAAGTCAAGCTCGGTCGGCTTTCCCTGCAACCAAAGCAAAAAAAAATTAAATACTTAGGGATAAATTATCAAATAAATTAAAAATAATTTTACCTGACATATGGATTTCTTTTTTAACTTATTTTCTAATATTAAAATCTCAAGCACAAGGGGAAGCTTAAAAATTCTAATCAATACTAATTAATCGAAACCAACAAGGAGATTATAGGATAATTTGATTTTTACTTAAAATAAAACAAACAAGAAACAATAACATCATCAACTTTCTATAAACTATCTAATCTAAGTTAAAAATCTTTTTTGCATAATATATAAACGGTTGCAATTCAAAAAACAACTGATATATAACATCTCCTTCTAATTAAATTCATAATGATATAATGGCAGTAATATTAAACATTTTTAAAAAATTACAAATCTTATCATAACACTTGCATGCAAAGTGTTCTGAGATTAATTACAAAATTACCCCCTTTTTTATTTGGTACATTACCATGAACAAGGCAATCTACACAACAAAAATCAAGGGAAAAAACTTCTAAAACCCTTTAAAAAAAATCAAGAAATTACCTTTCAAGAAAGAAAGCAAGAGGACCCAAGAACACCGAGGAGAACAGGTATCGATAAGCAACAAGGATGCTCATATCCATTCCATCATTGATAGCAAGCTTGTAGAAGATGTTCACCCCTGCGAACCCTAACTGCACCAAAACCATCCCCATTGCTGGCTTCAAACTTTGCCACAATTCCCCCATTTTCAAATTATTTGATGAGAAGAGGGAAATCTCAATAACAAAGAAAATCTCAACTTCTCACCTCAAAAAAATTTATATTAACAGGGTAGAGAGGGAGAGAAAAGAATGAGGCCGGACAGGTCTCCGGTTAATTGGTTTATTATATAAGCGAGAGGTTTTAAGGAGATTTTAGAGAGAGAGAGAGTCGTTTGCATGCATTTGTAGAGAGAGAGTGCGGAAGCTTACTTGCAATAAAATACCTTATAGTTTTCTTGCTTTGCAATCATATACCCTTAAACTAGTAATAAGTTTCTTGACCGGATGATTTTGCCTTACGAGGCTTCATAGACGGTGGGTGGACGAAACGCGGGGAAATTTACGGAATGACAGCCATACAAATTAGCTTAATTGGGCCTTCTGCTCAAACCTGCGACCTACTAGCGAACCAGATACCACAAACAGAAAGCCCAAAGTCCTACCCTATTCCAAAACGGGCCAAACCCCCACAGTCCTAGACAGGCAAAGGACACATGCGCATGTGCATGTTACTTTGATTAATTCATTCATTGATTGATGATGAATAAAAAGAGAAAGTACTCGATGACTACAGCTGGCCGGGTAAAAACAAGCATGGGATGCAAATTATCATATTGCTATTTTTCTTTGCATTGGTATGCTTTGAACCTCCGCAGGCTTACATATAGGCCTGTACTTTGATATTTGAATCAGTATGCACCACCTTCTAATTTAAGAAATAATCAATATGATGGGCCACACATATTACCATATATAAAGGTTGTTGATAATAGTGTATTGTAGTGGGTTTTAGTCCCACATTACTTGGGAGAACAAACCTCACACTCCTCTACTTGTATAAATATATGTGCATACTCAATATTCAATATAAGGGAAATTTATCCAAGATTCTCTCTCTCTTGGTATCAGAGCTAGGGCTATTTCCCTTCCAATAAATTTTTTTTAACGCTTCTGCGTTCTTTTGCCAAATCTTGGTCTTATGCTTTGCAGCCGTTTAATGTTTTTTTTATCTGCCAGATATTTTGGCCTTGTCGCTTTGCGGCCTCTTAACGCGTTTCGCGTTCTCGTTTAACGGGTTTCATTCTAACATTCGGGTTCTATTTTAAACCTTCGGGTTTCATTCTAACATTCGGGTTCTATTTTAACAGCATTACCGTTTCAAGACCGTCTCTCGGCCTCAAATTAACGGCATCGTCGTTTCAAGCCGTCTCTCGGCCTCAAACGAACGACATTGCCGTTTCACAGTCAGTAACGGCATCTCGACATCTTAACGTCTCAACATTGCTGTTATGGCTCCTTCAGAGAAGATTCCCAAACCACCTTTGCCCCTCAATGATCAAAGTGACTGGGCAGGGTGGTCCACCATTGTCACCAATGCCTTGCGTGGCGCTGGTTTGCTTGATCATCTCACCAGTACGGGACCAGTTTCACCGTCCATCAGCACTGTTGCTTCATCCAGTACTATTGCCTCTGGCAGTGGTAATGTCGATCTTCAGACTACTCGTGCTCTCTATGTCAAGGAGAGTTCAGAGTGGTAATTGTAGGAATTTCGTGTCATGGATTATCTCACTCGCTGTGTTGGCTCTGGTCTCACTGTCGAGATTGGCTCGCTTCCCTCTGCTCGGGCCATGTGGACTCGTCTTACTGAGCGTTTCACTGAGTGCTCGGGTGCACGGGAGGCATATCTTATGCAACACATTGCTCTACAATGCAAAGGTAGTTCATCTCTGCAGTCCCATTTCGGACAAATGCAAGCTTTTTGGACAGAGTTACGCTCCATGCTTCCTGGACGTAATTCCACATATGAAGACTGGCTAGCCTGGTACGAACGACATGAAGTGCATCAACTATTTCAGTCCCTTCCTGAATATTCAACTATGGCTGATCAACTACTTCATCAGCCTCAATTTCCGACTTTGGCCTCAGTTATGGGAGCTCT